TTTTGCTACTCTTTGTTCTTCAAGTCTTATAAGAACAGGTGGAGAAAATGCAGTGCTCTAATTTTCTTATTCTCTCTCTCGTTTTTCTCTTGTTTTCCAGGGATTTGTCGTTGCTCTATGTGCAATTGTGATTGCAACATTCTCGACAGGCATTGATTCACAATCATTTCAGGTGTCTTACAATCGTACACAATAAAAACAATGACGGCCTTTGTTTCTATTAGAAGCACAATCATTAAAAGGCTTAAAGTTCTATTAAAAAAAAATTAGTAATACCTTCTTAACTATTAAAATGGTTTAATTTTACAAATTGCACCTTTTGAAGGGATATTTCTCATTCAAACAAACCTGAATGGGGTGTTTTGCAAAATTGATCAAATGTCAAAAGTTACCATTTTTATTGCGCTCGACCCCAATTTTCTAACTAAAAAATTGTTGCATCACATTTGTTTTGTATATGTTAAAAGCATCAATAACTATGCTTGTAGTAGAATTAGTTTCTTGCAAAGGTTAATTTAGCCCCTCTTGTTCGGCTGCAGCTACGTAAAAACGGATCTAAGTTGCTGGAGGATGACATTCCATATGGCTATGGATTCTTTCACTTGGTGTTTTCTTTGGGGGCCATGTACTTTGCAATGCTATTCATCAGCTGGAATTTAGGGAGCTTGACGAGAAAGTAAGTAACGATAGATAGTCTTTCTTGTTCTCTTTATGCTTTTTGTTTAAAAAAAAAAAAAAAAATGAGCGAGTAGAAGTTCAGAACTAATATAATGTAAGACTATAGGTGGAGTATTGATGTCGGCTGGGCAAGCACATGGGTGAAGATTGTTAATGAATGGTTTGCCGCTACAATATATAGTGAGTATCGATTTTTTAAACATGTTGTTCGGATTTTTGCGCTTAGTTTGCTAAATATTGGAAAATAATACTTTACGTCGCTCAATCTTGAACAATTTGCACTTAGCCCCCTGGAAGCTAACTAAGACCTCTTTGGAAAATAACCTGCGCGTGCTATTTTTCGTATGATTTCTAATTCGAACTTTGTTGAGATGGACAGTGTGGAAGCTGATTTTCCCTGTACTGAAAGAAGCCAAAGTTGTGAACCACGATGAAGAGTCTACAGAACAAGTGTAGGGGTCCACATGCATGTGATTTTGATCTCTTATGCACAATGTAAGGTTGCTATATATGTTGTTACCGAATATACACTATTCTTTTTTTTTTTCTTTATAATAATTTCTTTCATTATAGTCAAAGTGATGAGGTTTACATTAATAGAATGGCCACTGTAATTCATGTATTAAATAAAATGCTTTTAGTGGTCAATATTAGCTGCGGGGTGTATATAACTGTTTTAGTTATTTGATCTGCAAGAGTACCAGCAAGTTGGGAAATAACATAACAACTCTTCACTAAAACTAAAAAAATATGGCTAATGAAATGTATTCACTACTAGTAAGAAAAAAAAGGACAGAAAGCTTCGTGGCATTAAAACTTGATATGGTCATGGCCCATGATAGAGTTGAGTGGCCTTTTTGGTTAAAGTTTGTAGAAAGATGAGGTAATGTGATGTGTTTACCTCTTGGATCCTTGTATGTGTTTGCAACTTTGGAGACCGGTCTTCTTATTTGAAAGAAACCAAAGTTGTTTGAGATCTCAAACAAGGAGACTCTTTGTCTTCTTGTCTGTTTATCTTTGTTTCTAAGACTCTTTCTAATCTTGTCAAGCAGGTTAGTCTAGCTGGTCCATTTAATGGCAGTGTCTCATCTTGTCTTTGTAGATGACTCAATCTTGTTTTGTAAGGTTGATATTATGCATGTTAATCTTATTGTGAACATCATGTATCTATATGGTAATGGTTCTAGTCAGTTGGTAAATTTTGATAAGTCTTCCATCCTTTTTTCTAAGAACAAAATAGATAGAACTTTAACTGAAATTGTCGAATCTTGTCTGGGATTTCTAGAGTGAGATCTGCTACATACCTATGACTTCCTCTGAGAATTGGAAGATAAAAAAGAGAGACCTTCCTATTTGTGATGAGTATGTGCAAAACAGAATTAAGAGTTGGAAAATAGATTTCTCAGTGAGTGTGGTAGAGAGGTTATGATAAAATTTGTCCTTAATGCGATATTGCGCCTACCTATGTGAATGTCCTGTTTTAGAGTCACTCTGTCTAGTGTTAAGAATTACAGGTGGGGACAAAATAAGAATGGGAAGAGAAAATTCATTGGGTTACTTGGAGTAAGTTAGCAATTCTTAAGGAGGCTTTGGGGTTGGGTTTTAGAGATCTGAGCAGCTTTGAGGTAACTGTATCAGTTCAACAGCTGGAGGTTAATCACAAAGTCTAACCTCTCAGTTAGTAGGGTGTTGAAGGGTAGATACTTTAAAAATCTAAATTTAATGGAGGTGAAACCTAAAATTACATATTCCTTGCTTTGGAGGAGTTGATTGAGTGCTCATAAGTCTTTAAGGTTAGGGGCTAGGTTCAGGTGGGTGATGGT